ACATTTTCTTATATGTAATTGTTAGGGATAAGGGCCAGTTGTAGTTAATACGTAAACATTATCTTTTCTAATGCGCCTTTAAGTTCCTTAACGCTGAGCCTGGTCTTGTTGACAGTTATTTTGACTGACTTGTGAAATTCAAACCATTTTTCATTTTGGGGCCTATTTTCAAGTTGTTTAAAGATCTCTTAGAATCCATTCACAGACTCACGAGTTTGCCGTATTTGTTAAGAGCTCAGACATCTTTTTTAATGATACTGTCTCATGGTGATCTCTCCCACTTTAAATGTCAGGAACAGATTGACCTTAATGTCTAAGGGTTAACTAGGGAACACCTTCTTCAAAACACTGAGTAATGATGCTCTTATCATGTGTACACAAATGTGGAACACTACTATTTCATTTTTGCTGTTAAAAGTATGTGAGATTAAATCTTGCTACATGTCATAGAATTTTTTTTAGATGTTTATAAAATAAAAATGTTCAGTATGGTTAGCATTTATTATACATAAATGTCCTTCTTAATGTTTTCCTGGACTCTGCAGCGGTGAATAACTGTGTTACATACCCGGTAGTTATTCTGCGGTCAAATAGGTTAGAAAAGCCCCATTTCTTTTATGTTTTTAGTCCACAAAGCATTTTCAAGTTAAATTTGTCTTTTTAGGTGTACGAAATCAGTTTGTTAATGAGCCAGAACCGCCAACCACAGGCACATTAACTGAGCTCATGGTTAAATTGCGTGTTTCAGCTATTGACAAGCTCAGATTGTTATCCAGCTGTATTCAAACACAGAAAGTAGCCGTCTGGAACTGCCACATAGTTGACCTCATAAAAGATTTCCACTCAAAATAGCCTGATCTAACCACAAATATATATTCTACTGAAAACGCAAGTTTGTTTACATGAGCATAGATAGATGTCACCAAAGCATGTATTTATATTGAAATTACTGAGGTAAAGTTTCCAATTTTGCTGAAGTTTCAATTTTTAGGTTGAAATAAAAGCAAAAAAGGAAACCGTACAATTTAGACTTAAAGTTGTCAAACAGTCTTCAAGTTGACGTGGAAGAAATTTGTTGTTTATCAGAAATTTCAAATTTAATTTCCTGAAGTCTCAAGTCCTACATCTAGATTTACAGGCACTCATGGATAAAACTTTCCAAATTTGTAACCAGGTGGGTTTGGCAGGACAAGATCGTATGCAAAGCATCGAAAATGTTCAAAGATGTGATATTTTAGACCATGTTTAGTCCTTCTTCCTGTGCCATTGTTTTGCAAATGGTTTGGCATCTCAATTTGAATGCTATTTTTGATAAATACATCCAATCCACCCAACTGAAGTGGAGATTTTAGAAAGTCAGGGTCAGCCTGTAAACAAACTGTACAGATCGATGTAGTATTCTCCATACAATGGGACAGGTCAGACAACCAGGTAGAGATAATATAGTTAATAATTAGTCAAGCCAAGCAGTTGAATAATGTTTCAAACCTGCAAGTTACTCTGAGAGGAGCAACTCTCTTTACTGCTGTGTTTGAGAATCCTATTGCAAAAGAGTTGCTCAGCAAATTTCCAAGATTGGAACATTTTCTGATCTGAAAAATTGTTTTATTCAACACAACAGGTCCTTAAACTGTGAATCTTACTGAATATTTAATTTATATACAAAAATCAATAAACCAAATCATTAAACATTGATTGGTTTAAACTCTACTTTTTACTTTGCTAAGCTTTGTATATAAAATAGTAGGGTCTTGAAAAAGCTGTTATGGGATGAAAACTATTTTAAGTCAATATGTTTTTGTTTCCCTCAGTCTAAACATTGGAGTTTAAAAATAATAAACATATTAATTGATATCATAATCTGTCAACCCAATATTAGCACATGTTACACAAAGTCATCTTCTGACTGACTGATCAGGCCCTATGGCGACTCCCTTTGTGTCCAAATTGGTTCCAAATACAAATAGGGAAACCATCAAAGCATCCAATGAACTTGAATAGAACCAACAGCTTAAATGTTTTGATTGACATCATATCTGAGTCGAAGCTGACGAGCAATCTAGTACAGAGAGGGTCTTACAGTATATTAGAACCACTGATAACAAGGTGTAAGGCAGTGATTACCCAACCAGGGCCCCTAGAGGTCCGCCAGTGCATTGGAAGGGGTACATGGAAATATTTCATTTATCATTTAATAAAATAGGGCTGGGGTCTGTTTTGCTTTGTGAGGATAAGTTTTTCTTATATGTTTGAGTTCACCTTCAGCTGTGACACACATCCAAACCAAGCATAAGAACAGACTGGATGTAGAGAACAGCCTGCAGGATCAGCTGTTTTTCACTCTGAGCTATCGGAGCTCATCAAAGCAGCTCAGATGTCTCGATGAAAACAAAGTCAAACTTATCAAGTCTGACTATGATTTTCGTTCTGTATTTTATTCCCAATTCATAGAATTTAAATGTGATTATAAGGGAGTTCCAGTTTTATAAATACAGATTTATAATAGGATTTTATTTTTTATTTATTTCGATTCCTTACTAACTTCCAGGCAAAATATTTGTGTTGGAGATGGAAAGCATAAAAGTATTAAAATAAATAAATGCCAAAATTAAAAGATTAAGTAAAATAGTCTTTATTTCCGTTTTTTCCACGTTCTACTTTTGGATAATCATCAATACTTTTGACTTAGAGGGATACTCATGGTCCGAAAAATGCCCAAAGGGGCACACAAGTCAAGAAACGTTAAGAGACACTGTTGTTAAGTTCTCTGGACCAGTTCTTTTTATGGTGATTGTGGTGTTTCACCCTGATGGATCAATGTATTTCCTGAAATTTGAATCGTTCTGTTCTTCTATTTTGTTCTTACCCTACTGTATTAAAGTAAGGAATTAGAGCTCAGATAGACTGAATAATCTACCAAGAGGACACTCCTAAAACCTAAAGGTAGAAATAACAATTTAATCAATGTCAGCTTTCAATCACAGTTCAATCACCATAAGGGCAAATTATTGCCTTTGTTGCACGAATCAGTTGTTTTAAATTTTTTGTTTATTTTCCTACTAACATTAAACAAAACACACAAGAATTCTCTGAAATCCCTGTATGAACTGTGGTAGCAGTCCCCTTCTTGCCTTTCCTTAGAAATCGTACAAATTACCCTCAGGGTGGAGCATTCTAAAACTGTATGTTTTCTGACAAGGTGTTGCAATCACAGAAACATACACAGTTACAGTCAGTGCAGCCTATTGTAATCTAGACAGAATCTTATCATGGTTGTGATACAATCTGGACTGACAGCTCTTTGTAGCGGTAACTATTCTTAGCCTTTCTTTTTTCATTGTGAGGGACCAACTGGATCTGTACCCAGCGTGCCCCCACATGATACTTAGGGTCACTTCATGTGGGCTGACACCAACACTCATAGTCTCACTCATCTCTTATAGGGATGAGTTTAGTGTCTTAAGCTGCGTCTCCTCTAATTACTCAAAGTTTGTCTCTCTCAAATCAAATTTTCATTTTTCCACTTTAGCGACTGTCAAAAAAGGACACAATAAGCAAAATAATTTTTATTCCCTTTTGCCCACTTATCCAGCTCACAATGCTGCATAGTAATTACAGAAGAAAGGCTGAAATTGTCAGATCCGTCTAAGTCTACACTGTCAAATAAAACCTCCGTTTTAAAGAACTCAAAATCATCAACAGCTGTATGCAATCATTAGCTGGTTAAATGTTTTATATTTTCATTTATTCATTGTCTTTGTAAAAACAAATGTAGAAGTAAAATGCCTTCTATGAACTCCCAAAAGGACGAAATGCAAGCAAATATAATTTCTCCAATAATTTACCCTGACAAAGAGACAGAAAGACAGACAGAATGATAGAAAGAATTTGTATGGTGATAAAAAAAAACATAACTTCTTTCCCAAAATTAATATTCAGCCTTTATAACCACATGCATAATGCAGCCATACAACTCACTCATCTGACTGTGCCAGCACTCGCAGAGCGTCTCTCTATGCATCGTAAATCCTCCCTAATTCACTTCTAGTATTCATTGAAACACCTTCACTGCCTACTAATGTTTGCAAATCAGCACCAAAGCCTATATATGTGAAAAATAAAATCCATAGGGTGCACCTGCAAGACTGATTCTGATTCCTCACCATGGTAGTGTACATGCTGCTCTTTAGCAGCAGACGTGGTGCTAATGAAAAGGCTGTGTTTGTTTACTTGGGTGTGGTAGCTGTTTATAAAAAAAAAATGCATCACGTGTTTTTTTTATGAAATCACTTAGAGCACTGTAATAAAACATGCAAAAGGTACTGCGGACCCATATGTTGTTTTTTTTGCCTTGCATGATGCTGCTAAAGTGAGTCTAATTAAGAGAACAGAATGCCTCCTCTACAATTAACTCCCATAACAATCAAATTCAGATTTATTCACTGTAAAACTGTACATCAAGAATTTCCCTGGTGTATAATTACAGAGAAATAACATATTGGTAAGCCTTTATGAATTATATAATGTTTGTTTGGCATGCAGTTTGAACTTTGATCGTTTTGGTTTTGTTGTTAAATTTGCTGTAAAATTCTTAAAAGTCTTGTAGAGCATAAATCCAAATACTTCATATTTCATTTGGTTTAATAATGGCAGAATATTTAACATGTATGCAATCTGCAAATTTTTAAACAAGTATTAAAACCAAGAAACATAATATAAAACAGTTGAATGAGTCTATTAATTATAAACAGCATAGATTAAACAACTTTAAAAACATATACATCACTGAACCATTCCTTTGTACATTGAAATAATGCATTTAAAATTGTAGCCAATAGGCATTAAGTAAATATAATGGAATTAAGAAAAAGCAGAAATGTAAACATGACCCACACTTGCAAAAAATAAAACTTAAAAAGTTTTCTATAAATATTCTGCAATTAATATTTCTACAAAGAATAATAATAATAAATCATTGCTGTTATTATAAAAACATTTACCGTTGACAGCGCTGAGCTCCGCTGACATCCAAAATGCTCATCCTCTAACCAGCCTCTTCCCTCTCTGCGCTATAATCCAACTTTCACCAGAAATGTTGCTGCGCTTCAGCAGAGAACTTCGGCTCTCCGTCCTGTCTGGCACTGAGAGCTCCGCCGGTCTGCGGCTTTAAATCAAACTCCTGGAGAAGCAATGAAAGCAAATGAAACACAGATCTGTATGTGCGGTGGTGACCGCATGTGTGTCCCTCGGTGCGTTTTTCAGCCCGAGCTGCACAGCTCCTTGTAACCGCGTGACGCAGCTGGACGCGTGGGGAGGGCGCGCGTGTTGCTCCAACCTCCATGAGGGCAGTGATGTATGGCAAAATGTTCTGACCAATTATATATGTGTATCTTTTTTTATCTTTTTTTATTTTTTCAGAATTAATACAAACAATTATAACAGACTTCATTGTGAGCCATCCAAATAAAATGTATTACAAATTGGTTAATTTGCTGTATTTATTCTTCAATGGCCATTTTGAGGTTAAGTTCCTGTTTCTACTAAACTTAAAGTCGAATGTCAAAGGAAAGTTGCTTTAGGTACATTTTTGCAAAAGCAGCAACAGCAAGGGAGAATCTGGAGCTTCAGGGAAATGCAGTAATGATTCATCTAATTACAGCATTAACTGTGTCAACCTAACACTCATGTCTTTGGACGATAGGATGAAGCCAGAGTACAAAGAGAGAACCCAAACATGCACTGGGAGAACATGCAAACTCTATGCAGAGAAGCCCAAGACTGAGAATCGCCAAAATAACCACATAAATATATGTTTCGTATGTTTCGCTCTGTTCTTCTTCCCTTCCCTTGATGAAGTGAATCTGCTACTGCTGCTGTGTCTGCAATTAACTCTTTTTTAATTGTATTTTAATGTATTTTTACATTCTTGTTTGTGAGCAAGCCAAAGGCAAATTTCTGCCATCATTGTGTATGGTAGACATTATAGTGTTTTCTATTCTATTCTATGATACAGCTTTATTGATTTGTTTAGTGCTAAGTAAGTAAGGGATTAAGTAAATTTCCAGCACCTTTCAAAAATACAGCTGTTCAACAAGAAATGAGAAAGTGTTCTCTCAACTTTCAGAGTCAAGGCTGCAAGATAAAGGCTCATACGACAGTCTGGGTGCAACAGCCTGGAAAAAGCTAATCCCAGGTTATTATATCACCAGTTCTTGGAACTTCTTACAAATGTAGGTTTTAGGACTTGAGATTAGTAAAGGGAGATGTATGAGCATTCAGCTCCCTGCAAATTAAAGCCTGGATTTTAAAATCAACATGTAACCAGTACAAAAATGTTAGGGTTGATGTGAACTCTTTTTTGTGTTTGGGTTAATAGTCTGACGCAGACTTTTGAAACCAGCTGAAACTAATCAAGAGGGGGCCTTTTTATTATTATTTTCATTCCATTAAAAAGTGTGTCATAACAGGCTAGACAAGAGGGGTAAAAGCGTAAATAAACATTCCAAGTTTCTGTTTTTACATCAACTAAGTTTTGAAAATTTCTCAAATGATGCCCTTAAATTGTTTTAAGTTCAGGAATTTACATTTAAAAAGATATAATCTAGATTGCTTTAGAAAAGAGCCAATATGACTAAATTTCACATTAATGAAATTGTGGAAGGTATCTTGAAATATTTTAAACTTTCCAAGGGTGTTATATCAAATAAAAAAGAAGAGAAACCCCTAAAAAAGAGCCCTGTAAGCGGACCTTAGTTGTAAACTCTAATCTTCTCTCAGCTGGGTTTTTCCCAAACCCTATATACAATCTGGGTTGCTGCGAACCAGATCCTTTTAATTATTTGGGAACATTTCTGGGAGAGACTTTGCAAGAATTAAAACTTACATTTGATGTGATCACCACAGAAATGCCAAGCTGAAATAACAAATGTGCACTTTGAGGATTCTTCATCCCAAAGTATCTCTTTTTAAACAGCTAATCAATCAGCTTGCAGTTTTACAGAGTGTGCAGAGATAAATGCTTTCCCAAGGAACTCTACTGCACTGCAGGCCATCAGAATATTTTGAAATGTGTGGGGATATCTTATGAAACAACGGACAGAGGTATTTCTTTTACATTTTACCATCTTCTTTCAATCACCTTACCCTGCTGGCTGCCTGACTGCATATCTATTTGTGAAGAAATTACTGTCTGACAGCAGACTTCTGTATACTTTGGCAGAGACTGTTCGGGCAAAACAGTGCTTCTCTTGCAAAACACACTATTGAACAAACTATTGAATGTGAACTTTGCCCATAAATAGGGTTCAAGGACCTTGTGCATGTGTCAATAAGCTGTGTACAGCTGAAGCATTGAGTCACTTTATTTTCAGTTAAAAATATATTCAAAGATACTCACTGTTAAACTATTCAGTCTGTATTAATGTCAAATTTGCCTTTAAGCATAAGTAGTAACTTACCTTAAATGCCTTCTTTTTAAGAATTTGTAATCATGATAATTATTTTCTTTATTGCGGTGATAATAAAATAACTTATAGCAGCAGACAGGGTCAGCAGGTCAAATAACTCCACGTACTCATATTTTTATCTGTTGAACACTGCAACAGCTGCTGTTGAAGATGCCGAGCTTTGACCTGGGTTATGGACTGGTCGGCTGCAACTCCTGCGACTTTTGTCCTCTTGATGTGAAACAAAAGATATACTAGAATAACTCGTGACTGAGCTCTGATGCAAGAACTGCTCCGAGCTCCTGTGGACCGCAGTCACACATTACACTACGGTCTAATAGTCAGGCATCTTTACTTCTCTGAAATGCTGAAATGCATTTTCATTAGGTGCAGTCCCTCGTCTCCCTGAGGCAGCATATGTGACATCATCAGCAGCAGATTGGACCTCTCATAGGAACTATGTGACTCTGCATATCGAAGCCTCCTCTTCCTCCTCATATGACCACCAGATATGTAGATTATTTAGTACATTTGCATGATTTAAAAATTATTGCTGAATATATATATATATATATATATATATATATATATATATATATATATATATATATATATATATATATATATATATATATATATATATATATATATATATATATATATATATATATAGTCCCCTGAAAAAGCACCATGTAAGTACAGGCCATTTCCCATTTATTATTATATTTTTTTATATATATATATATATATATATATATATATATATATATATATATATATATATATATATATAGAGAGAGAGAGAGAGAGAGAGAGAGAGAGAGAGAGAGAGAGAGAGAGAGAGAGAGAGAGAGATTTTTTTTTATCAGATCAATTTGTATTTTAGATGATGTTCTTACTCGTCCAGCAGTCTAGGTTAAAAAAGGTAAAAAAAAAAGGTTAAAAAAAAAAGTTTTCCCGGAGAACCCAACAGAGGGAACCTCCATTGTCAAGCTAACTGGTAGCCTACAGACCAATATAATACTGTGTTTAAATAGAGTCATTCTCAGTTACCATCTAATTTTTTCTCTAAACGAACTGGTATCTACAGACTACAGTCCCTACACTGCAAAAGAATGTGATTACACTTCTGTCAGACTATAAACAGTCGAATTAATGGTTTCAAATAGCAATAGCAACTGTGAAGCAGAATCCTGACATCATACTTAATACAAACCCTTGAAACTAAAAACACATTGAAAAAGTTTGTTTACAGAGCATTTAATTTTTCTTCCCATCTCTTTTTTTTTTTTGGCAATGCTGTCAGAATAAATGTATGTTCAGATGAAGAGGGAGGAAAATTCTCTTGAAGCTCGTTGATTACTTCATCAAAACTTTCCACTACAGAGTTGGGAAAATTTTAGTGGAGTCTGAAGTAAGAAAGGATCCAAAAAGAAAAGGAAGCTGGCAGAACGACCAGACAGATGAGAGTGCTTTGTGTTTTGTGCCTCATGTCAGTCATTCCAATGAAGGCCTATTTTCATATGCTGATTATACAATAAACAGAGAACTGTTCTGGGCTGCTGAACAGGAAAGAGTGTCAGAATGTTAAAGACGAGACGTATTATATTTGTAGTAGGTGATGGGGTGGGAAGATTTGAGATCTGCCTATAGTTCAGTTTAAAGACCAAATTCAGTAGCTGTGTGAGAGAAAATCAGTTGCAAGCATCTTTAAATAATTTGCCAGTCTGATTACAAAGGTAAAAAAAAAATAAAAACTCCTGTAATGTAGTCAGAAAACAGATGTGTTTCCTTCCTAGCAGTGGGTGTTATATTCCCAAACAAGGCGACGTGGAGCACTGACGGTCAGTGTGTTTCCATTGAAGCATTTCTGTGCCCTCATTTGATGCTCCCATGTGTTGTCTGGCCAAATCCCCATCAGCGACGCTGTCGGGGTGTATCAGAAAGGAGCTGATAGATATACCGTCATGTTGATGGACTATCAGCTGTGCCTCTCGCCCTGCAGCCCCTGACAGCCAGCTGGCAGGAGAGTGATTATCCCTGGAGAGGTGTCTTCATAGAATAATGTTATCACAAGTCAAGTTTTCCTCTGTGAGGTCAACTTGAAACACGGCGTCTTCGGACGCTTTTATGGCTGATCGGGAAACTTAATATACATTTATAGTGGCAACACAGCACTGAAATTTCATCTGGCTTTATTTCGCCTGGAATATCTGGCTTTAGCTTGGTTTTAGTAGAGAATTTTGTAAATTTCCACATTTATTACTAAGGAAAATTTTTCCTTGTTATGAGCAAATCATTTCTTATATGATGACACATGCACCCCTTTAACACCAGATACATTCATTGGCATCCTATGTATAAAAAAAGTTTTCAAACCTTAGTGAATAATCTAAAAATATATTTTGAAAAGGCTGTCATTGATTTTGTAAGAAAAGCTGCACTTCTTTTCACACATCCTGCCCAATATTAGACATTGTAAACATAGTCATATTTTTTTTTAACTATTCATTTTTGAGTTCTCATAAGTGCAACCTGGTGTGAGAGTGTTGAAAACTTTCATCTTAGTCTGATCTGACCGAAGCAGATCAGAGAAAAAAAGACTCAAACCACTGATTGGCATGTAGATAACTTCCGTCATAAAATACAAGACTTTAAATTTATTAAAGGTTTGAATACTTTTTTGACTTTCCATTTAGATGCTTAGAACTTTCATTACTGAGTTTTTCTGTGTTTCCTTCTTGATTTTGGCAGTCTGGTTCCCTTTACTTTATGCTCTTTTTACTTCCTGTTTCTTGTCTCTTATGTTTTTGAGATTGATTTTTTTGCCTTTGCATTTTACTCATTGTGATGCAGATTTTCCA